TGGGGAGGGGTGACCCACAGCCATGCGCCTGGCCCCTCGCCTGGGGGTCCCAATGGGGAGGAGGAGGAGTGCAGAGGAGGAGGAGAAGGGGAACGAGGAGGACAAGGAGGAGGAGGAGGAGGAAGAGGAGGAGGAAGAGGAGGAGGAGGAGGAGGAAGAGGAGGATGCGGGGCACAGAGCAGGAGGTGCCTCTGGTGACCCAGGAGTGATGGGGGAGGACAGACATAGCCATCCTGGTCCTGTCTGTCCCACCCGGGCTCACGCTAGGAGCCGGGGGCACCAGGGCCCGGCGCTGCCACGCATGGAGCCCAAGCCCACTCCTCGTGTGGGCACTCAGGCAGCCGGGTGGGAGAGACCCCCATCCCGGCAGGGAGGGAGGGGAAGCGGGGATCTGCTCGGGGGTCTTCAACCTCAAACCCAGCTCCTTTCCCACACGAAGCTGGGCTGCGGCTCCTGGGAAGCTCCTGGGATGGGCTGCAGCTGTGAGGGCCGTCGGTGGATTTGAGAGCCCGCACGTCATCTGCATGGTTGAAGCCCCTGAGCGTCGCCGGGACCCTCGAGGCCCTCCCGGACAGCGGGACTCCTCTTGGGAAACCTGAAATCCCCAAGCCACGTCCTTGCAGGAAGGAGGGGAGATGAGCCCCGTGGCGATGTTCTGCTGCACGCTGAGGAGCAAGCACGAGGCCATCTCAGCTCCGCAGAGATGCCATCCTCTTTGGAGGACGTGCACAATAATTTTGTCAAGCACAAATATTGACTCACAAGTCTGTGCTGAGTTGAGCGAGTTAAAAAAACCCAAACAAAACCCAGAGAAATTTCTGAAGAAAATTATTCCAGATTAATTTGGAATTTTTTTTTTCCTTCAAAAATGAAAAAATGTTTAAACCAAAATTTAAAAAATTGGGTTTGCTCCAGGTAAGGAGCTCAAAGGAACACTGAACGTTTTGAAACGTTGGCGCTCAAAGTTCCCAGCAATGAAAAAAAGTAAAATAAAAGGGTAAGAAAAGCAAGAATTGATTGGATTCAAACAGTTTGGTGGATCTTTTTAGCAACCTCTGGGAAAAACAGTTCTAATAAATCACTGATGTGGTCCGAGAACTCTGTGGAGCCTGGCCAGAAGATCTTGCAACAACTCCAAGGACTCTTTGCCAAGGACTCTTTAGGAAAGGACTGTACGGAGCTTAGAACCCCACCGCGAGCCAGCGGCAGAGCCAGGAACGCATCGTGGCGGTGCGCAGTCCCCGCCTGTCCCCACCGAGCCGTGCCAGTCCGCACCCGGGGCAGGTTTCCACGTTGGTCATCACCGTCACGTGTTGGAGTGGGAAGGCGGACCCGGAGTAACGATGAAATCTCAGTGTGAGTATGGTCATTCTCCTCTATTAGTCAGCAAAACAAGGTTTATATAGCAAAGCAGTTACAGCCTCTGATTGGTTAGTTATCTTAACCATATGTAGTCAAAATGGCTACCTTGACAGCGTAGATTGTCTCGGGATCGTTGAGCTTCCGCCGGCGCCGGTGCTGGTGGGTCACGCTGAGCCGGAAGCCGGCCACCATCTCGCCCTCCCGCCAGCAGACATAGGTGCCTCTGTCGCTGACCCGGATGCGCCGGATGTGCAGGTGGTTTCCGTGGTCGATGAAGACCCGCATGGTCTTGTTGACACTGACAAGGTAATGGTAGCGGTAAAGCTGGACGGAGTCCTTGTCCCAGGCCACGGCATGCTCAGGGTGGGCTCCTGGGCATGCGATGATCAGGGCACTTCCAACGGGCTGCATGTGAAACTGCGTGGGGACGCGGGGCGTCCAGGGCTTCTCGCCCAACTTGGAAATGACATTGGAGATGGCCTGCACGCCCTCCTCGGAGACCTCCTCCTCCAGGCACGGGGTCAGGCAGCTTTGGATGGCCAC